TGATAAAGGAAAAAATATCAATTAGGTAACTTTCTAGAATTTCATTTTAAACCAATGGACAATTTTTGATCTGTTGACATATACATGCCCCACTGAAGGCTGTCTGCACAATTAACTATTAAAACTTAGATGCGCAAATGACTTGAAACTGGAATCAAACTAATTAGAATTCTTGTTATTGTTTCAAATGGCTGGGCACTTGCAATTAAATGCACATATCCTGAATAACCAATATTCGTCAGTCATTTAGCTGTCTCATTGCCGAAAATGTTGCCCAATGTGCACCACAACAGGTGATTGATTTTACATTAACGAGAACAGTGAAGTTCCATTCCAGTTCTGAGACAAAAAGGCATTGGAGAATGGATCCGAGGATCTCTCACCTCTTTTCTTGTCATCAAACCTCTTGAGGACTTTCAGCTCACCAGCATTTCAAGTGCACAGTTAGTTTTAAGATGAATATTTTACTCTGATAAGTTACACATCCAGACTGAAAGATATTATAATATGATTTGCAAATTCCTGTGATGCCTGATGACCATTGGCTTCACCTTAAATTCTATGATAGCATATTAGAACATTCATAAGGCTGTTTGCAAATGCCTGCCCCAATACTCTACTCCAACAAAGTAGTGGCCATATTCACATTGTTCACACCCCAAAGGACTGCCTTGCAATCAGACACTCTACATCACCATATCTGTCCCCAACAGAAAAACCTCTGTGATGCTATAGGCTGCTATATCAAGACTAAACCACTACCACAAAATTTGCAAGAACACTAAGCCAGAATCCAACCCACATGAATTTGACATGAGGTGGATTGTATCAAATATATTAGTCATTCAATATTTTACTGAGAGCTACACTTTTGTAAGGTATACAATAAATGCATATTCATATTATTTTCATTGTTTAATTATTTATTGATGATGATTAAAAAATTCCTTCCAAACAGTATTTCAATGCAACATGTTCACAAGTTAAGATTCATCCGATTTCATTCCTTGCATAAGAGTTGGTATTTTGACAATAATAGATTCACATTTAACCATGCTTTACTCTTTATCTTTTAGTTAAATCAGCCTGTATCTGAAGATAAAACAGAGTTTATACAACAATAGACTTTAAATATATATCACGAAGTCCAAAATCCACAGATCCAGACCACTGGACCTCTATGAAGCTTTTCTCAGAATGTTTTTCTTTTGGATGCTGCTTTAATCTTGTACATTTGATATTTTTTCTCAACAGAACATGTGGAGAGTACTGGTGTTTAATTTTGCTCTAGCACTAAATAAAATACCTCCATACTGAAGAAACAATCATTTATTAGCATAAATCTGTATGATCCATAATTTAACTTTATAGCTGCCTTTTTGCTTGGCCTTGGAGTATAAAACTTGGTGTGTGCTTGGGCATATATTTCAAACTGAAATATTCTACATTGAAAAATCACTGATTTTACACTTACTGAATAATTTATATCTCTCACATCAACCTGGGGAATCAATATTTATTAACTTTTGCTTTCATCACCGCACGACCATCAACCCATGGCAGTTTGAGGCAGCTCATGTAGCGATATCTAAACAATTTTTTTAAAAAGCATTAATGATTGAATACCAAAGAGCATGGCAACCTTTTATGTTGACATTGCACTTCGTGATGATTTACAAACTTAGTTCAACTGCACAGTGAAGCACTGAGTGGATTGATGCTTAGAAACTGAACAGAAATTTCTTTCTACACACACACACTAAAAAAAGGGGGGGCATGTTTTGCACGATATTCGCTGTTTGAATTATGAATAACTGATTTATTGTTGCAATAAACTTTAACCCATGTGCTTGGCAATTTTACATGAGCACGTTCGTGTCGTACTTTTTGCGACATGTTATTTTACCGTTTTTGGCACGAAACGACAGAAATGAGTGAATATTGATAAATTTGTTAAGAAATAAAATATTAATCTTATTACTGCAAAATACAAATGATATCACATTCAAATATAAGTAAATTATTTTTTAAGTTCTTATGTTAGTGAGATGGAAATGCAATGATGTATTTCATTTTAGAACACTTTAAATTTATTATTTAATAATTATATTTTAAAATCAAAGCTAATTTTAATATAATAAGACAAATAAAAAAGGAAAACACCTTGGTAGGAAAAAAAATAAGTTTAGCATTACTTTACTTCTGCAAGGAAATTTACTTCTTACTGGTTACAAACACGCACTTTAAACTAACTTTAATATTTTTATTTATTTCTAAAAAATAGAAATAAAAGAAAATAAGGAACGGAAATCGCTTTTGTTCTCCCATCCAAAGGTTTCCTTGTCTTCCTTTTCTTCATCAGGTAATTCTTGAAGAATGCAAGCAAAATCAGCTGGTTGCACTTTTTTTTTTTGCCATGAAAACTGATACAGTCAAAAGTCTTTAATACGGACCTCAGAGCTACAAACTTTCTAAGCATGCGCACAATATGTTTACGCATGCGCGCTTTATGTATAACGGACTGTATAAGCTAAGCTAAAATTATCTAATTATCTGTTTCAGTTAATGTTGCAGATTGCGTTGTCCCTTAATCTTCAAATTGGATCCGGCTTATTATTTTTTGCAGACTGTTAGAGCAATTCTATAAAAGTAAGCTTGAACTTTCGATTATGTCAAAAAGAGTTTCTGATTTTGGAGCTGCCAAAGGATCTACAAAACGAAAGCATGTTTCGATGTCCATCAAACAAAAAGTGGAATTGCTGCAAAAAATGGATAAAGGCATATCTTTTGTTTCTCTAACTATTCCGAAATCTGTTTATCAATTTCACGCTGCTCTGTGAGGGAGGGAGACGTTGCGGCGCACAATGAACTGGAAGTTGATCTGTCAGCACTATCCTTATCTTCAGGGCAGATGTTTTTATTTTATTCGGCTTATAATTCCTTACTAAATGTAGTATTTCATCTCGATGTACTCCGTCTTTGATATGATTTAAATCAAATTCCTCGTCATTATAAATATCACGAATACACATCAAATAGTTTTCTGGTTGCAATATTCTAATTTCGACTATGCGTAATGTTTGCTTTACGTATGTGCGCGTTGAAAGAAATGTTTAATAAAGTAAACAAATAAATATTAAGCTTTTTTTTTTGTAAATTTTGATACCCTTTAGATCATAATTGCTCTTTATTTCATAAATTATGGTTTCATATTTTCAATTTTGTAATTTTTGCATGCCATCTTACCAGATTTAAACTGATGATCTATAATCCGAATTCGCCGAAGTCCCGACAAGTCTGGATTAAAGACTTTTGACTGTATAAAATTTACAGAGCCAAATGTATTCAAATTAAAATAACACACGGCAATTAATAATGCAAAATTACAAAATATTTGAGAAAAAAAATATTTTCCGAATTTTCACCCACGAGCACACGTGTTGTAACTTTTATGAAAAAGCTGCCCCGTAGCAAAAATTCCCAGTAAAAAAAAAAAAAAAAAAAAAAAAAAAAAAAAAAAAAAAATCACCTGAGTTCCTGTTGGCACATTCCATGATGTGGGAAAGGATAGAAAGGAGGAACAGAAATGAAATTCGTATGTCTCAGCTTCGATATGCAAAAAATGTGCATTAAAAAATGAATTTGTCGTAAATTTTGTGTATATGCATGTGCTGAAAGGTTAAGTATATTGTGGGAATTTACTTACTCGAAACCAATATAAGCCTTAAGCATATGTGAAAAATAAGCATAATTATTGTAGAGTCATTATATATACATTATTTGTTTAAAGCAATTTGTCGTAAATTTTGTGTATATGCATGTGCTGAAAGGTTAAGTATATTGTGGGAATTTACTTACTCGAAACCAATATAAGCCTTAAGCATATGTGAAAAATAAGCATAATTATTGTAGAGTCATTATATATACATTATTTGTTTAAAGCAAGAAAGATGACGCCTTCGCCGGGAATCAAACCACAGATCTCTGAAATACGCACCCAGTGTGCAGACCAGTACACCACGAAAGCACACTCAGAAGGCAGGAGAAATACCTTATATACTCCCCTTTTTTAGCACGACTGGAGATTAGGGGACCCAACACCTTTTTTAGTTCAGATGCCACTTGTAGAGACATTAGGTTTTTTTTTTTTTTTTTTTTTTTTTTTGGAAGCAGGAGAAGTGAAAAATGAGCAATGTCTTCGCTAGGAATCGAACCACGGACCTCTGGAATAGGTGCCCAGCGTGCAGACCACCACACCACGAATACACACTAAAAAGATGGGAGAAATACCTTCCTTATAGTATACTAAACAACTAATATAATTCTGGCCTAACTTCTTCAACACGTGGTAGAAGCAAGAGAAAATTTAACAAACAAAACATCAAAACATCTTTAGTCGTCAATCTTATGGATAGATCAGCAAGAATGTATAATGGCCACTAGCTAATCTTTAAAATCATAGCCACAAATTTGAATGCTTCCGGATACTGCAAACAAATGGAAAAATGCGGAGACGTGGTAATAAACAAAGATAACATAGCAGAAGTTTATCATTGTGATGACACTGCTCCAATTGTGAATCAATTAACAAATGGTAAATCTGTAGTATGGTTCTAAACATTCGGAAAAATACCACTACTGGCAGCGAAGAAAACGAGAGATTGCTGAGAAATTTTGATCGACAATTTAGTAGGAATTTTCAACACGGAAATTATAGACTTGAACAATGGATCTTTGTAACTGAACAAGAAAAAATTATGTCTGTCTATAGAATTAAAGAGAAAGAGTTAGCATAAAAAAAAAGGCAACTAAACTAGTCTGGATCTCACACTTTGTACTGTATACATATCGCTTGCTATAACACTATTCATACTTCTGAATGTATTTTAATATTGACATACATTTAGAAGTACAGAAGATTGAGCACAGTACGCCAAAGAACAACTGAAATAATGAGAGTTGCATTATGCATAGTAAATTAATAAATAACACACAACTTATGCATTTCTAAAAAATATTTACTTCCTTTTCTCTTCTTTTTTTCATGTATGTAATCACATACAATATTAAAAATCTATGTACCAGAGTAAAATTAGTAATTACATCACAGACTACAAAAAAATTAATTCTAAAAAACCAAGAAAAAAAGCTGCCTCTTAAAAATTTAATTACTCCAGTACATAAATATACTTTAAGGAAAAAAAAAAGAAAAAGCAAAGTTAGCAGACATTTGGAAATATTATATAAATAAATAAAACAAAAATTAGGGAAAGCATACATTTGGTGTTGAAGCTTAACCTATTACTTATGATAATGAATAAATATGATGTAAATAAAAATCTTTAATACATGGAATAAAATAATAAGCTTAGGATTTTCCTCTATGTATAGATATCAAAATAAAAATCTTTTAATATATGGAATAAAATAATAAGCTTAGGATTTTCCTCTATGTATAGATATCAAACAAGGTTGATAAACAAGATCTTAATTAACTTGAAATTTTGCATTACATTTGATTTATTTAAATTTTAAACATAAACATTGACTGACATTCTCCATGCATTGATTAAAAGTTTTTTCATGAAGCAGTCTATTCTTTTTTAAAATGTTAATTAAAAATAATAATTATATTTTAAGATAATAAAACTTCCAACCTGAATACTAAAAAAAAAAAAAAAAAAAAATCTGCTAACAATGATAAACATGTAACAAATAAACAATAAAATTTTTAATCTTATGACAATACCAACCGTTAATAAATTATTTAATTTCTTTTACAAATATCACATAATTATATATCCTGCATAATACAAAAGAATGTCAAAATCAATGACTAAAAGTGCATAAGTGCACACAACATATCAATAACATTTTCATAAAATTTATCCCTTTCATTGTTTTTAAAAATTATAGTGACAATGTTTTAAATCATTGCAAAGTCAGTAATTCTGTATGCTATCTAAAACCAGAATAATTGATATTTGATTTTAGTTAAATGTCTTACATGATGCTTCATCCATTAGCTTAATTTTTAGATTAAAAAAAAGGAATAATAATAATAAATAAACATAAAAAAGAGATCCATCTAATTTTTCTTACATACATAAGCCAATATTGTATCTCTTTTAAATTCATACAAAGTTTTGCACAAACAGTTTAACTTTAAAGGAATATTTTGCATTGTTTTCAGCAGTTGAAATCATGAATTATACACGTACATATAAAACTTATTAATACTTTACTGAGATATAAAAAGTACTCATTTTGTTCAGAATAAAAATCTCTAAATGCACTCTAATAATCACGGCGTGAATGATAATGGTTCCCTTCATGGTTATGTCTAGTCCCACTAAAGGCACTTGCTCCACCAGATGACTGATGTCCACTGCCACGTGAATACACATTTCGGCCACGGGAACTATGGCGTCGACCATGGCTTTTTTCCTTATCCATTTCAAGGTCCTCTAACTTTTGAGCAATGGCTATTTTTTGACTGATTGCTAACCTTAAAAGTGCATTTAATGTTTTCTTTTGTTCTTCACTGGATGTCAGTTGTCTCTGCAACTCATCAAGCTGCGTAACATATTCTTCACAACGAGCTGCAAACATGGCTCTTAAAGAAGCAAAAGTAGCTGCATCTTCTTTAAGTACTTTCAAGTCATTTCTGAGCTTCATCATAGTTTCACTTACTACTGCCTTTTCATTTTCATATTTACTCTTCAAGTTTGCAAGGGCTACTTCTGCAGTTTGTTTATTGGCTTTTAAAACTGTACGCAATGTAGCAACTTGTTCTCTCTTGGTAGATAGCATTGATTTGAGCTTAATAACTTGTTCTTGTAGATCTTCAACTTCAGCCAATGATGAAGGTTCTTGACTACCACTATGATGTGTCTTCTGCCAATATATTTCTATTGTGTTCTCTACAGCTTTAGTCAAGTGACTAAGCTGATCACGAATAGTATCCAATAATCGATTACTTCCTATTGAACTATCAGATCTATTTTCACTTTTATCATCTTCTAATAATATTTTAATTGCAATATCACTTTTCAGCTTTTCTTTTAGAGTATCCAAGTTACTACTATGCATGTTGAATATTGTACTGCATGACTCCTCTTTATTACTTTCAGAGAGTTCTAAACTCACCCCAGAATCAACTCCTAGAACAAAAAATTAAAATCAGTATCTATTTTATATATGTGACACTATACATCTTTTTATATTTGATTTCTTTAAAACAATTTAATGGAGAGAGGGAAACTGGTACAGAAAAGAAATAATTATTTCAGCCTTAGTATAATATATGGAAATAAAGCAATTAATGGTACTTTGTTATAACAGCCCCCAACCATATTTGATGATTTCAGATTAGCACCAAGACCTCAGCTATAATTTCGCCAAGCTCATGAAGCTCAAATGTAAAAATAAACAACACAATAATAATAACACTCACATGTCATTTCCTAAGAATATTTTTAAGAATCCTTATCCTTATTATTATTATTATTATTTTATCACATGTAATTGTCTGCAGCACTTTCACGCGTTTTGAACTGTTTGTTACATCATTTCATAAATGTTAACTCTTCTGCTCAAGAATACACAAATCTAATAGCAGTGACGAATGATATTCTGGAAATGCTAAATCAATTTCCGACACAGAGGGCCTTCTCTTCGCAAATTTTAACACTGCACCTCCAAATGGTTTCATCATTAACATAAAGTTCATGCTGCGGCCATTTCCCATACTTGTTTGTCAGGTAAAAACATCTTTCATGAAAAACTGATATAGCATCCACCGCATTACTTGGTAAATTAAAGACTGTTAATGTCATATTCACACACACACACACACACAAAGGAGTCAATGAATACGAATTTAAATAAACAATGCGAATTTGAAAACCTCATAAAAAATTAATATCAGAACATGCGTTGAGAGGAAAAATGCAACATGGTGTTAATATTGTAAGGATCTTAAGTTTTACTAACGTTTATTTTATTTTAAATCTTTACTATCACTTCTTATTTTCTACTTCTGGCCAGAATTAAAAGCTTTAACTTATTTATGCAAATTTGTCTTGTGAACGCCAAGTACTTAAGTTGTGGCTTTTTGCCAAACAAAAGAGAGGAGAAGGAGTGATTAGGAGCAGGCCGCTTGCCATAGCAGTTTTACTCGGTTGCTGGTTGCCTTCAAGGCCAGAGGTTTAATCCTCTTGATAATTTTAAACGTATTGTAGTGTTAGCAGTTCTCTGTACTACATACGGCTTTCAGTTAATATACGGCCAATCTTCAAGTAGGCACTTGTTTATGAATCCAAAGTTAGTTTAGTTAATATTTTTATATTCTTACGTTCAGACCACAAGTGGTTGGTCTCTGTATTCCGAAGTCCGGAAATCATTGTAAAGAGAGAAAAATAAAGGGTTTCGTATACCCTTCTTGTGTGGTATTGTCTACTTCCCACATTTATTGAACATAGCTTTAGTAAGCTCCCTGTTCCGATTCAGGTCATTTAATGTTCCCAAAGCAAGTAAGGAGGAACACACAACCTGATAATATGAGATTATGTGGCGAGGTATAAAAACATGCAACTTATGCTAATATATGATCATGTGGCAAGGTATAAGAACACATAGCCAGATTTTGGTAAGATGTCTCGATTGATTCTCATGGGCTGCTATAACAAAGAAGTACCAAACTCATTTATTTGCTTTTACAGTTAGTGTATTATTTTAAGATAAATTTCATGTTTAAATTTTGAAAATTTCATCTCTAAATAAAATTTTAGTTAACAAATATGCATCTAAACCTGTTTAAAAGCAAATATATTTGAAAGAGATAAATACCTGCAGTATGAGAACCTTTCACATGATCCAGCATAATTCGACTGGGTGTTTCGCCATTTACCATGCAAACATGATGGTACAGCTGTGCAAGTTCTTCAGATACAGCAATCAGATCATCCTATAATACATATATTTGCAACAATTAAACAAAATGAATAAAATTTACTACAGGAGACTTTTATCATGTTTTACCTAAAAGTATAAGTGAATTAACACCTGTGTAAAGTTCAAAGCACTTCTTGTTTTTTTAGCTATTTGGCCCATGATATATAAATCATCCTCTAATTCCTTAATTTTATTGCTAAATGTCTGAACCTGTAAAAAAAAAAAAAAATAATAATAATGAATAACTTGAATATAATATTAATTATATTTACATTATTTTTAGCATAAAATATTTATAACATAGTGAAAAGATTATTTAATAACAGCAACTTATTTATTTTTGTAACAATATTTGAAATCTTAATAAGGATAAAACAAAAATTTAAATATCATAATTTATTTCAGAGTGATATAATCTTCAGATAAAACCACTTGAAAAAATTAGTGTATGTAATGTAAATAGCAATTTTATACCAAATAATAATAATAATAATAATTTCTGAGAAATGATCAGACTATGAAGATTGAATTTAACAATGGCCACATGTGCTACTTTACACTGTCATTATATATAATAGCAGTCATACAATATGTATTTAATACATGATTTGAGAGAAATTCAGATCATTAATCCTTTCAGACAGAAACACAATCATTCACTTCTCCAGCTGTTTAGAAAAAAGCAAAAGATTATGTAAACCTACTTTTAAATATGCTGAAATAACATTTACACATTTATAAGCTAAATAAATAACTTGCAATTTTAAAATTTCAAATTACATTTTAACATGTTAAAAGGTATTCTGGCATTATATTAAAAATATATATATTAAAATACATATTTTTCTTGAGTAAAAATAAAACCTGCTATTTCTAGTTGATAAAACTAAATCTTCATTGTTAAATACAATTTAACCCCCCCCCCCGGGGAAAAATAATTTTAAAATCCCAATATTTTGGAGGGAAAAAGAGGAGTAAAATGGATAGTTGCACGTAAATGATAAATTGCCAAATATTATTTCAGTTTCTGTCATTGACATTGCAACAATTTTCCATCATTTTTTCTACAGATTTCTAACCAACAATGCTCATACCAGAAAGTAGAGTAGACATACACATAAAAAGTCGAGTGGCTGTGAGAAAGTACAAAAAGTGCAACAAGGAACTTCGAGGAATAACAAGCCATCACATGGAATTTTACCTAGTTGAATTCATGTGAAGAAGGAGAACAGATGATCTGTTTAAAGTCTAAATGATAGCACAAATTTTTGTTGTGTAATTGAAATAGGAAAAAAAGTAGCTTGTTTTTAATCACCGTGTATATATTAGAAATGTTACTTTGATGTTTAAATTAAATGATTTATTTCAGTTTACGGTATTATAGGCCAAAAGGCATTAGCCGAATAGGCTATTAATCTAGGAACAGGTTTTGGCAGCATATCACTTTAAATATCTGAATCACTTTTCAAATTGTTGCCATGAAATATTATCACCCTATATTACTTTTAAAGAAATTAAATGTAGAAGAATCTGCATAAATGTATATATGTTTTTTGCACTGTGAAAAAAATGATGGTACATAGGCCATCAAATTTTGAATAATGTAGTCCTCCAACCGAACATGTGTACTTGAAAACCCAAATTTTTAACAAACTCAAAAATGGCAGTGGCAACACAATACTGGATTAAAACACTGTTATCTCCAGCATATGAGACTGTGTATCAGAAATTCTAAAGATATGCTGTTCTTAAATATTTTGCCATTTAATTGAATTTTATGTGGCGTAAGTGTTTTATTTAATCAATTTAACACACAAAAATGCTAATAATAAAAAGACAAAGTTTTGCAAGCTATCTATATTAATATGATAAACTGAGAAAAGACTTTAAAAAATAGGAAAATGTATGCCAACACTTAACACTTCATCTGGAATTCTAAACACATGTTGCTTTTAAATTTTTTAAAATTTTGCTGCTGAACTGTATATGGCATTAAGTGCGAAGAAAATAATGCTTAATAAAAACCTAAAAAGACAAATGCAAGTGGATTAGCAGGAGTGAGTGCAACAGCAGATTGGCAGACTGCGAGTTCTGCGAGAGCACAGAAATACCTTAACAAACCCTTTTGGGTAACTGTTAAAATATGAAATCTTTTAGATTTTTACTCCTTCCCACAACCCCCATTTAAACAGGTACTTCCTTCCTATATTTTACATGCAAAGCATGAAAATTCTTTTTGTTTTATTTTTCGAATGTGTCTGTATTTACTCTGCTATGCAGGTGTTCCAATTTTTTAAGCTACAAAATATTTTAAAAAGTACACTATTGAAATTAATAAAAATATATTACCACTTGAATACACTAAAAATATGAAATAAACATAGACCACTAGAAAGCTTCATATATTAATATAAAATTTCATCATTATCATTAGATTTTATTTTGCAGAACGAATACAAAAAATGGAGTTAGATGGTTATCACTTTGCAGTTGTAACAAACACATTTTTATTTATTACACTGATGGTATAAATAACATTTTGTAAAAAAGCATAATAAGGAACAGATTGTTATGAAATTATTTATTAAAAAGGTAGACAATGACAGATCATATTTGCTCATACACTGCCAACAACTTTCTCTTGAGATTCTTACCATTATTTGTTAACAGACTCTATTTTATCTGCCAAGTAAAAATAATACCCCTTTCAAGATGTTCAGGAAAAAAAGTTATTATTTAAATACTTAAAAAAATAATTATATACCTTAATCTTAAGTTCTGTAACTTCCTCTCTTAATTTACGGTTCATTGCTTCATCATCCTCACTAATTGTGGCTCCCTGCTGTTGAAGGCCTCGGACATCATTTTGTAATTGTTCTACTTGCTGCACAGCAAGTTGATACCGTTGCTCATGTTTTGTAAGTAAAGTTTTCAGGCGAGAGAGTTCTGGTATATCCTAGAAATAAAATTGAAAATAAATAAAAATCAAGTTATTAAAATTTTGAAAAAAGGAAGTTATAGATTAAGAAATGAACGAATTAGAAATAAATCAATGATTATCACTAAGAATAAATAGTGAATATATTTCAGCAAATGTAATGATTTCTTTTTCTAAAATGCCTGTACATGTGATGGCATCATTTTTAATTCAAATAATTACTTAGCAATGAATACCTGAAAAATACATACAGGTTCAAATTACTTGAATGCGACTGCTTCCATCAACTCTAACCAATGACACAAGGCAAGCTTTAACAATGGATGTGATGGATATATAAAGTGTGTTGTGTGGATGAATACAAGCTGTCAGAGACAACATCATGATCTAAGACAGCTTGCAGTACCCAAAGCATTTTTACACAGCCTGAAAATACAGTCAAAAGTCGTTAATTCGGACACCCATAATCCGGAATGATCTATAATCCGGACCTCAAAGCTACAAACTTTCTGCGCATGCGTCTGCGCGTAAGACCTTTATGGCTGCGAATATGTGTGCGCGCATGCGCAAAATACATTTGCGAATGCGCGTTTAATGTATAACGGACGGTATAAGCTAAGCTAAAATTATCTAATTCAGTTAATGTTGCAGATTGCGTTGTTCCTTAATCTTCGAATTGGATTTGGCTTATTATTTTTTGCAGACTGTTAGAGCAATTTTATAAAAGTAAGCTTGAATTTTCGATTATGTCAAATAGAATTTCTGATATATATTTACTAATATGTAAAGGATCTACAAAGCAAAAGTATGTTTCAAAGTCCATTAAACAAAAACTGTAATTGCTGCAAAAAAAATGGATAAAGGCATATCCTTTGTTTATTTAAACTTTAACGTTTGTTTATCTAAACTTTGTGCGGCGCGCAATGAATTGCAAGTTGATCCGTCAGCACTATCCTTATCTTCAGAGCAGATGTTTTTATTTTATTTGGCTTATATTTCCTTACTAAATGTAGTATTTCATCTTGATGTACTCCGTCTTTGATATGATTTAAATCAAATTCCTCGTCATTATAATTCGCTTCCGATAGCGAAGAAAGTAACAGAGGTTATTGAAAACGAAAAAATTTCGATTGACAAATTAGTCGGTATTCTCGACACAGGAATTATAGGACTTGAACAGTGGAACTTTGTAACTGAACAAGAAATTATGTCTGTTTATAGAATTAAAGAGAATGTATTATCACATAAAAAATGAAGCAACTTAAACAACTTACATTAGAAGAAATGTTTAATAAAGTAAACAAATAAATATTAAGCTTTTTTTTTTTTGTAAATTTTGATACCCTTTAGATCATAATTGTTCTTTATTTCATAAATTATGGTTTCATATTTTTAATTTTATAATTTCTGCATGCCATCTTACCTGATTTAAACTGATGATCTATAATCCGGAAAAATCGATAATCCGGAATCGCCAAAATCCGTACGAGTCCGGATTAACGACTTTTGACGGTATATTTCTTGTATAATAATTCGCATCATCATAACATTATTTATTATGGCAAGAATTTGAAGAAAGGTTTATGATTTTAATGAATCCAAGTCTAGTTGCATTCCATTAAAAATTATCAAAAATATGTCCCAAAAATCCACAAATGGAGCTAATTAATTTAGATTGTGATACAAGTCTTATTAAAAAATTTGAAGACACACATCTGATTAGCTTTTTTCATATTTGTCAAAAGATAATGAATATGAATGTTAAGTTATGAATATGAACTTTTGCAATAAGAATAGTCACTTTGTTTGAAAATACATTTTATATGTGAACAGTGTCCTCTCCACTCATTATAAATAAATAAATAATAATAATAAAAGGAGAGTTCATAAATCAGCACCAATAATTCATTATAAAGACAGTTTCTAGAAAATTTTCTCTGAGGTTATAAACTTTATCTACATATAAATGCTGTGAGACATTATAGCTCAAAGCTATAGCAAGAAATAAAGAAGTTTTTAATTATTTATATACAAATATATATACATATTTTTCAGTATGCATCAAAGAAAAATTTAATAAACAAAAGAAAGACTGTCACGATTTATTCCTAAGTTTTGTTCTACTTCAAAAGTTCGTAATTTGTCTATTTTTAGTTCAAGTAAGTTATTTAGTAGTTAATTCAATGCATTAGAATTATTTGAAATAAAGGAGTTTTTCTCTTTGCATTATTATTATTTATGAATTTTTTTACAAATATTTAGTAAATAAATTTTTTAATTTACTTAACAATTTTGGCTCATCAGTTGCTTTTAGATTGTGCATTTAGCTCCCATGCAGTTTTAGTTTGAGACCACTGACTTAGGGAATGGTATTCCCTCGATCCCTCATTACTATGAGTGGCACTAATCATCTCTTCAAACCACACATACACATACAAATGGTTGGAAGAGCATAAATGTTAGGATTAGAAGACTTGACTGCCCCTTTCTCTGGCCATCTAATATCCCAGAATTATACTGAATTGAGAGTATATAACACCTCCTCAGTTTGTTCACTCTATGATCCTCTGCCTTGCACCCTCCAGAAGCTGTCATTACACTCAATGCAGGTTTAAGCTCATTTCGGGCTCTGCGTGCAGAAGATCAAAGGGCTCCCTTGGCACTGGCGGATCCAAGGAGGGGCTCTTTGATCCGCCAACAAATGAAACAAAATTTTAATGTTTAATTTTTATTGTAAAAAAAATATATAAATAAAAACAAAGCAGTATTCTTATTAAAAATAAAAATAACATAAAAAAGTTAAAAATAAAAATAACATTCTAAGTTGTAACATATAACATAACAAAAAAAAAAAAAAAAAAAAAAAAAAAAAAAAAAAAATTATAACATTCTTTTTCATGACTTAATATTGGCAAACTGATGTATAATAGTATCACTATTAAGTTTCTCCAGTGTGTTATAGTCTATATATAATAGTGACAATGCATCAAGGTTTTCTTGACTCAAATTAGACCTTAAGTACGTTTCCAATCTTTTTAGGGACGAAAAAGATCGTTCGCCTGACATGTTAGAATCCCACTATCCTGCAACCAGTACAATAATTCTATCATTATATTTGTCCGGCAGTTCACACTCCATTGTTTATTATAACATTTGCATCGTCTTACATATTTGGTAAGGTACTGTCTGTAGTCTAATTCATCTGCTTGCTTCTTGATGTAAAGCGTATTATAGCTGTCATCCCACTCTTAACACCCGGCGCCACGCTGGGCTTACATATCGACAAACAATACGGACATGGACGTGCAGGTTAAAGGCGCAGATTATTTTGGCAAAATCATTTACTATTTTTCTAAAGAATTTTTATCTTACACTTCTTATCAAATTCTTCTTATTCAAATATCTTCTTATCAAATTTTATAGCCAGAAATTCTGGTTAGGTCCAGCTTATTTGGACCCATGGGTGCCCGCCCCAAGCTCCTAATGGATAAACCTGCACTGATTGCACTGCAGTCAACATGGTTTCATATCCCTGTGAACTATTTCCAGCAGCATCTTACTGACACTTCCCTCACCTGTATAGCTGCTGTTTGTGCTGAATATAGTGGTTATTCTGGATTTTAATAATAATAATGGTTTTGGATTAAGTGATTATGTCAAAGCACACTAGGTCTATATGTCTAAGAGGAAGGACGCCTTCAAGGAGAGCATTCAATGGGAAATTTCCTTGTATACACGTTACACATGAGGAAAACTGCAGAAACACCCAAGCAGCCAGCCCGTATGCCTGGAATTGATCCCAGGTCGGAACTACCAGTATTCAGTGATTTCTACCACGGCTGCTGGTGCACCGGATTTTAATACGTGGTCACATAAATGTGCTCAGTTGTATAATTAAATATATTTAGGTTCGGACAGCGTATTGGAAATGCTTTACATCTATAATATACTGTTATATTTGTACATCAAATGCAACAGCCCACACACCTTCTTCAAATCAAATTATTCCATTTCATAAACAGAATATATCGGCCCTGCATTAGTTATAGCATTTCTTTTCCCTCTTCCCTCCATTTACAAATACATTCATAATCCATCGCCCCCCTCTCTGAGAATAAATGATTGCCAAATGACTGGTTGCCGCTCAAATTGGCCTCCAACCGGGATGTTAACCATATGGAATTTAGATGCCAGCTCGTCAGAAGACACTAGAGCTGACAGTGATATGGATACTGATGAACCGACTAAATGTAGATTGGATTTTATTAAAAGATTACAGTACACTTTGTTTTGCAGAAGACTTGAACACAAAAGTCACTAAAAAGAATGCAATCAGGCAAAGGCAAAACTGTAATGGAGTTGTATGTACAAAGTTAAATAGTAGCTGGGCATAAGCTAATGCAGGAGGAAAAATCATTTAAACTTATGGGCAGTTGATAAACAGACAATCAAACTGGAAATACAGATATTAATACTGAATTATGTTCAGAATTAAGTATAGTCAACAGCATTGAGTAGGGGGGAGGAGTGTGCCGCTGTACTCCTATTGCTAGATGAGACTTGCGTTATGGACATGTATGAGGCAGGTTGCATACGGCTTGACATGGCTGATTCAATTTTATTTTGTGCAGTTCTGGTCCTGCTAGACTAGATGAATTAAGAATGATACAATATTTTTTGGAATCCACGATTTCATTGAAATTTAATTTTAATCAAATGATATGCGAAATTAAAATTAAACATAAAACATTAAGATGCACTAAAAATAATGCATATATATCCGTATCAAACTATTCATGCAAAAAATAACAGTTTACTTCACATTTTATATTTTTTGGAAGTTATTAAATATGCTATGCTAGATCAAAATAATAAATAATGTTAGATTTCCCCATATCAAATGCATCCAATGAACTACAAAATGTCATTTTCTATCCATTAAATAAAACAGTACTAAGCCAGTTAATATGTCCAATAAACAGTGAAGGTATTTTAATATTACATTTATCCTAGCTAGATTCTTAGACTTATTAAAATGAAATTTGAGTGATTTAAATACTATGCATAGAATCTCCAGGTTTAACTTTATTACTTCAGAGAATATCAAGCTAGTGAAACCAATAATTTATATGATGCAAAATATTATAATTACAGATTCTTAACAATGCAACACATATTGCTTGGTATTTACATATTATTGCAACAACTTTAGCAGAATAGGCCAAATTTTCAGAAAACGTCAAACTCTGACAACCATCCACATAAAGATTCTTCAGCCAACCATGCTGATAACCAGCTTTTCAGCTTAGCAACATTGCTATTTCCATATGTATTCTTTTGTTGTATTCCAAGTTTTTGTTGTTTTAGAGATAAATCATTACATTTTTTTTTTTTTTTCCTTCAACTCAATTTTAAAATAATGCTAGCAAAAGCTCTGCAAGAATACAGCATTTCACGGAAAAATCATTAAGGGAAACAATGATGAGACGCATTCAATAGACATACAGCAAGCATTGGTGAGTTTCAGCAATGCTCTGTTTTTAAAGCAAAAACAAATCACTGTATATGTGGGAAAAAAAACAGTGCTAAAAAGTTAGAGAATGTTTCTTGAAAAATGTAAATGTCTTACTTTTTTATGTATCATACAAGCCTTACTTAATAATTTAAATTTGTATTTAAAAATTTTTAAACTGCTTTTTCTTTTAATGTGCTGATAATGTTTGTTCACTTATGATATTATTGATTACTTGAGAATGTTCTTAAAAAATTTGCAAAGATTGCCAATTGCCAACTTGCAAACGATAAAGTAATTTTTACTTTTTCATTTGTAAAAACCACCAAATTGCATCAAGGTTGGTTGCATTAATATAAAAGTACCTATTGCTTTTCCTCTGCTAGACTAGCTATAAATACAATTCTAATCACAAGATATTAGCAATGATTTTTTTTTAATTTTCAGATTTTTGTTATATTAATTATTTTAAGGGGTTAAAAAATTCTAGAAACTTTACCTTTTCAGGATCTTCCAAACCACTACCATCTTCTATTTCCCCACATTTTCCATGCAGTGCAATGAGAGCATTTATGTGCTCAACCATTCTATGCACTCGACTATTCTGATCACTAAGTTCTGCTTTAGTTTTCTCTAACTGCTGTTGAGTCTCTTGAAGTCGGCTTGTTATTTTAGCCTTTTCATTTTCGGTCTGAAATCATAATTACATGCTTTAATGTTACAAGTTAGTTTAAATAAGTCTACATCTTTAACAGCATTCAAAACTATACAATTAGAAGATAACACACTTTTAAACAAGCATAAATTGATCAAGTATCATACAGGTGTATACTTTTGATATTAATTAAAAAACACACATTTGACATCAAAGAGCTAATTAAGACTTGAAGCATAGCAACCAAATATTCGATTGCCTGAAAAGGTGCAAATTTAAAAAAGAAATCCTTTCAAAGACCACTTTCCTTTTTCCACAAAAGAAATTAAGTGCTTATACCAGTAACTATCACTGTATTGGTTGATTGTTCATACTCTTTGAAATTTATCAGATACAATTAACTAAAATTTTATTTAACAGTAAAGATTTTGCTTTATTAGATGGTAACTACATAATTATTTTCATTTAAGAAGAATACAAATTTTGATGAATTCCTTTCTTTGTATTTCAGAAAAGTTCCGATTCATGTAATCAGATGTCTTCACATTTCTTATTTAGTTTACGTATCAAAAGCCATGCAAAGGTAAGCATACCTTATGGCGAAAATTCATACTTTTAATATTTATTATACACATCATACAGAGTTGGAGTGTAATGAAAAAATCAATTTAACGATTCATTTCCAAGTTCCAACTTTCAGGGATGCAAACTGACATCAGCTTTCATGTGCTAAATAAGAACACAGCAGCAAGTTAAACTAGAAAGAAGTCTGCCAGTACATAAGGTAAAATAGTTAAAGATTATGTGCTTATTAAATCTATTAAAAGTTAACAGATTTAATAAGTACATCCTTCAGAAGATTAAATGTAGCTTTAACTAATGAATAAAAGCACCTTGCAATATACACATCAGTTTTTCGTATGTTTTAAAACAGAATAATAAATTATTATTTTCTGAGATTTTCAAGCTACAGAATTTAAATTGGGGGGGGGGCACACAGCACTTGCTGGAAGCTACATATTAAGACACATGCATGAGACACATGTATTTTAAGACACATGCATGATGCATGAAACTTAAATTACAAAAATTAAAAACAAATTTAGATTATCATTGATTTTTTATCTTAATAATGTCCTTGAAAATAGGATAAAACACACAAAAATATAAAATGTGAAAACAGAGATAGTTAGATAATACTCCCACATGAAAATGGCTCTTTATGTCTAACTAACATGCAGAAGTTCACAGGAAAAAACTATCAGATAACATCAAATGCAAGCTTTAAATAAGCATGCTAATAAATAAAACTTTTGAAAGACACTTTTTTTAATGTTACTAACAATTAGACTATATTGAACTTATTAAAAATTTAGCAGAAAGAAGATAGTAACACAGCTTAGAAACTACGATTATAATTTTAAAACAATTAGAAAATTTTTCCAACCATCAATTGTTTCTTAAATTTTCATTACAAAATTGATGCTGTATTAAATATATCAGTATAATTAATACATCAACATTAAAACTTTAGTACTTACAGCCTCTAACTGCTTCTCTAATTTTCGTACTTCTGATAAATGCAGCTCACTGAAGAGATCATTGACAGTAGATGACTGAGGTTTACCAATACTATCTTCTAAAACAAATACACATTACTATGGATATTCTTATCAGAAATCCAAATGTATATAGTGCATGCTTTACCGACAAATTATGTTACTGAACAGGTAAATATAACCAAAGAACAAACAGAAATAGTAACTGAGAATTTACACTTACTTTTAAAAAATAAAAATGTTTTCTTTAAATGTTAAATATTTTACATAAGACATACTTTGCATTAAAAAAATAAATAAATAAAAAAGCGCTAAATAAATATCCCAGTAATGAAGCAGTCAGGTGAAAATTACATAAGGCCGGAGAGAGGAGCTGCTCTCAGTTGTTCTTGCGAGTTGTCAGTTCAGCATGAGATCGGAGTACTAAGATATCTCTGGGCTAGCTTTCTCTTTAGCTGCGCTTTACATTGTGTTGTGTTTAGCATTCATGGTAGTTTGAAATGTTACTCTGTGATATTGTGAACAGTTGTATGACTATCTTTGTGGAAAGTTCCAGATTCATTTGATAAAATAAATCTTATTAACTTATCATCAGAGCTGTGTGCGTTCAATCAATTACGATCCCGTACAAATACAACACTTTTTTGTGTCAGTAGTGGGACTAAATGCCTGTGATAAGAGTGATGAACGAGCAACTAAGACAGTTGGTGATTGCCTTTGCTGTATTCCAAGAAAAGATGGAAGGTGCTGTCAACTTAGTCAAGGAGATGAAAGCTGGCTAAGAATTCGTTAAAAAAGAAATGAAACTGTTCAAGAATCCATTCAAGAAAAGATGAAAGCTTTTCAAGAAAAGCTTCAAAAAGGCGAAGAGGAAATGAAAAGAGAATTAACTGCTTAACAGAAAACTAATTTAAAGCAATGGAAGGCAGAACAGACATGCTTGAAGATAAAAGTTGGAGAAATTCAGAAAAGAGTGTCTGCAATGGAGCAACAAATCGAAGAAAGAGTTTTTGCCGACCAAAAACTGAAGAACAAATTGATAACAGGGTTTCTGCAGTTGGCAAAGAAGTTGATACCATAAAGAAATTCATACCGATGGCAGGCAGGATTCCTGATAGTTTTAAATTTTTCCCATACCTTCTCGTCCCTCACTAAAGCTATCCACATATGATGATAAGACCTCCTGGCAAGTGTTAAGACACAATTTTCTACAGTGGTGGACACAAATGGAAGGGAGTTTCAAGCTAAGGTCTACTATCTCACTGCTTCTCTGAGAGCAGACGCAGTGGATATCCCTCAAACTCTTTCCAAAAATCTCTCTAACCGAAAACCAGAGGCTAGATTTTGAAGCTTGATCTGGCCCCTTGGAGCTGTGCTAGGCTATAGTTGGCTTAAATTAAAATCTTGTCAACAGAAGATCACAGAAACACTCAGGAATTTGTCACAGATGTTGAAAGGCTGTCTCATCTTGTCTTTTCAGACTGTCCAATGGAAACAAGGGATATTGTATCCCTGCAGTACTTCATTGATGGCATCTGGGATCCTGAAATACAGAAAGCTCTGCAAATGGCAGATGTCAAAAATTTTAAAAATGTTCTAGTGTACGCCACGAAATTTGAGGCAGTGAAACAAGCAACTCATTGAGACTACCACCCAATCAGAGCTTCTCAAGTCCATGAGCGAGTGAATCAAATGCTTGCTCGTCTAGACAATTTAAACAGACAAGTCAATGCCTTGAGTCAGAGTAGGAGTGGCAACAGACCTACCATAAAGTGTTGGAACTGCAGTGCTGAAGGAAGTGCAGAACTGCAGAACACATGAGAGAACGGAAAATAAGACCGCTCCCCAGGAAGGATGGAAGAACCAAATTAGCGGCCATCTTGTGCAACTGAGTTTGAAAGATAATGAGAAGCCTCATTTTAAAGCATTTCAAATTTTTGCAATGAGCGTTGGAAGTAACAGACTTTTCATCATGGGACACATGAATGGAGTTCCTTGCAATATGACCATCGATATGTCAATTTGAAATATACGTCAAATATGTCTCTCATATAATTACTCCAATTAACAGCTGTAATTCATTTGGAGAAGGTTTCAGTTTGCAAAACTTAACAGACAATAAATACCGACACTGTAAATAAATTAATTATATGGCAGTAATGAAAGGAATGTGCAATCCAATAAAACACATTTATATTTGAACACTTTTTTCCCCTCAACATAAGCCAAGACTGCATAACACTTCAGCTTTGAGTCACATTATAATTTCACAAGGTGGCTATTTGAATACAATCTTTTTTTTTTTTTTTCAAGCATTTCTTCCTTAAAGAAACAAGATAGCTGCTTCTTCCATCCTTGATTAGATTAAAAAAAAATGTGGTCACACAAGCAAAGGTTATTAAATCAATTATACCCCATAAAGATGACAAAACAAGCTATGAATTTATGCCTGTTTGAAATTCAAAAATCCATATTACAGTTCTTTCCTTAAAATGAAACGACTACATATACTTTAATTAAATTTATGAGAATAAATCATCCTTATATTCCTAATTATTTGATTTATAGTTTAAAAATGTACACTACCAAATTTTTTGAAAAGAAACAAGAAGCAATCACTATAAATGGTCCCCCCCCCCCCCCCCAAAAAAAATCTGTTTTTAAGAACTAAAAAGAGTGACAAAATCTTAACAAATTCAACACAGAAAAATCTTAAGAAATGCAACATATTTTAAACTAAAAATAAATCAGCTCTGCTGAAGGGATACTAATTTTTTGCTCATAATTATCCCAGGGAAGAAATCTTAATTTCAGAGTATTAATAAATAAATGTTTTGAAAACAATATAAAACTGAATATACAACTTACTTTCAATAGTCGGTGATAAAACAAGAGTTGTATCATTGTCTCCCTCATCTTCAGATTTGTCACCATCTTCTTGATTTAAACCTAAAAATATGTAGAATTTTTTTTTACAAAATACATATATTCTTCATTTTTTATCAGTTTAAAATTATAAAACACATTTAATTAGATGAAAATCTTTACTCTTTTTTAAACTGCCTTTAAAAAAAATTATGTAACTAAAAATTTTGTCAAAATAAATATAATAAACAATGAATACAATTGAATTATAAAATTATACTCTAACTGTATAAAATTAAAGCCTTCTCACTTTTGAAATCAGATGTTAAAAAATTTCTAGAAAGTTCGTATTCTAAATAATTTTTTTCTAGATACTGGCTACTAAACTATTTTTTCAACATTGTTTTAGTAAATGTTAGCTTTAAAAGGTTTTTTTGGGGGAGGGGGGGTACAAACACCAAAAAACTAGTTTTCATTAATTAAGGGAAAATTACAATTCCCTGAACATGAAGTAATACTGAATAAACATATTCTTGTACCAAATGCTGAGGTGCTAAATTAATCTAGTGAATTAACTATATTATGTAGACAGCTATAACAGGTTTGAAGCAAGCCAATGCATGATGACTGACTGAGATTTCTTCAGTTATGTTATATGGAATAAATTTCCAGACATAGATTTCATACTTGAAGATGCAAATAATACCTAAAGTTATTAATTTAGTTTAAGAATGACATCAAAAGCTGACTTAACAAAGTAGCAAGATGCATTCAATAAAGGTCTCTTCTAAGGCACTGTTTCACCTCCCATTTAAAATGAATAATCTAAAAGATACTGGTCATTTGCATTTCTCATTACACAGGAAAAAGTACTTGATTTAGACATAAAAACTGAACTGAAAGGGAATAGAAATAATAATTTTATGTTTGAAGGTGATGTGAATTAGGGTATATATTAGTATGAGCCAAGATAATATTACAGTAATTCTGCATGCATTAATAAGTGCTTACTAACCCTAATAACATAAACTCAAAAATTATTACAAAAGGTCAATATTTGGGATGTTATTTCTTTTGACAGATGCATAAATCTCTATACAGCAATTAGAGCAAACTTTAAGGCTCAAATTATAATGAGAGCATCTTGGAATTATAGGAATACCTTAATGCAGATGCAAAATGTGAAATATATAAACTGCAAGACAATAGCACACATCCTCATTAAGGTCACCCAGTGGAATCTTTAACACAGCATATTGCTGCACACATAACCCAGAATCATAATCTACCCATAATTTGACTTTGAACTAAAAAGAGTGACAAAATCTTAACAAATAGATTGACTTACAGAGATAATGGCTATTACTCATTACTGAAATGATTGAATGCATCATAAACAGTGTAGAATATCAAAGTTGGATCTGCATAATTCATGATCACTACTCTCCATATTAACTTAACCTGTCTTCACCCTCTCACAGGCAAGGCCTATGGCCTAGAATATTTTTTGTGATATTTGTAAAAACATATGCATATTAAAATATGTCAAAGAAATTATGGCAATACATTAAAATTACACAAATCCAGGTATAAAATACCAGGAGAATTTTTACATTAAAATCAAGAAAATAATTTTTTCTCATTGTAGTTTTTGGAAATTTGTGCTTTCTTAGCGAAAATCCCAGCCGGTCAGAGGGTTAACCACTGCCTTCTGGCATCTCTTTCTCAAAACAAATATTCCCAAATATGAAAAATCTTTCTAATATAGAATGTTTTTAAGCCAATCTAAAATTAACACTATAACTCTTGTTCCAACCAAATTTTACGAAACCCATATAGCAGTTTTGTTGTTAATCCCCATTTTTTCTTTACAGAAGATAGTGCATAGTGAAGGAATAATGCATATAACTGCACACTACTAAAACAATGATGACAAAATGGTCAATTCATATCACACTGAACAAACAAAAAATCCTTTTCATAATGTATAGATAATTTTTTACATAAATAATTTTTTCTGATCCTATAATTGATAACATTCAGATTTGATCTAGTATTTGAAAAAAATTCTTAGAATCTGGAATATTATGATTAAAATATGTAGAAATGCACTTAAAGTGCAAAGTACACTGAGCCACACTAGTATAAATATGCAATAAACTCTCATCATAACTAAGCATGTATAGTGATGCAATAAAAACAAGAATCTAGTACTCTAATAATGTAATACCAGAAACAGGAGGACATGCTTTTCTGTTTCAGGATAATCTGCCCAATTTATACACTGGTTATCATGAATTAAGGAAAAATCACAAAAATCACGATTACTGAAAATGTTACATGTAGAATTTTATGAAACTTACCCACAATATACAACACATAGTAAGGTATCAAGTAACATAAAAAGAAATTACCAGACAATTATGGTAGTATAGAAATTAGCACATGTATAAAATGAACAAATCAAAGATGTCAGTTTTCTATAGTAAAAGTACCTTCAATATGGGATATAATCACCTCTAGAAGCAATACAGAACATTCAGTGATGTGTGATGCTTTCAATTATGCGGTCTATCAGTTCCATAGGAAGCGAGAGACATTGCTCTTGCAAAGCAGTTGCAAGCGCTGCAAGGGTCTAAGGGGGCGGATTGAGGGCTGCTAGATGTTTCCTTAAAGCATCCCAAATGCTTTAAGGAATGCTCGATAGGATTCAAATCCAGGGATCAAGCTGGCCACTCCATGCGCATAATTGTTTCCTGTTGAAGATAATCATATACGATGCAAGCCCTGTGTGGTCTTGCATTGTTGTCCTGTAACAGGAAAGCATCACCTATTGCCCTGGCATGTGAGCGAACATAAGCATCAAGGATGCCATCTCTATAAACATCAGCATTCATGGTTCCCCTTGGAAAAACATGGAGGTCTGTGCGTCCACCCAAAGAGATGCCATCAACACAGACACCGCCTCTTCCGTATGCATCTCTTTCACGAATGTTTGACGGATGATAACGGGTTCCAGGTTCTCTCCATACCAAATAACGGCTTTTATCGTGTTCTAGACTAAACCTGGACTCATCCGTAAAGAAAATAACCCTCCATTGCTCAGGCGTCCAGTGGACATGTTGTCGTGCTCACTGCAAACGTTTCCTCCTATGGCACGACTTCAGCGGCACGCAAATGGTTGTTCGCCTCGCATACAGACCACCTTCGTGAAACCTTCTAAGCACAGTTGATGTTGACACCAACCTTCCAGATGCTGCAGCAAGGGAGGATCTAAAAAGAGTCAGAGTAGTGGTTTTATTCCTTAGTGCACATAATGTCAAACATCGGTCATCAGCGCTCGTCGTATAGCAGTTGGCCAATCCTTGGCTGAACCTCCTAGGTGTCGAATCTGCGATTTGAAATTGCCTCCAAAGTCTATGAACCACAGAAAAACTCACATTTAGCCATCTGGCCACTTCTGCGTGACTTTGTCCTGCCTCTAGTCTCCCAAAGGCTTTCTATCGTAGTTCTGCAGGCAAATGATGCCTGGAGATCATTGTTACGAATTGGTTATCTCAAATTTTTGATGTCACTATCACAATGAAATATGTGGGCCTGCTCTCAAACATGGACTTTTATGCTCCTCGCAGATGATGTATTCCGAGTGCAGCGCCACTAATTTGCATATTGGAGTTTTACTCAGCTACTCTTACTTGGCAACATATTCAAATTTTACACGATTTGGCTTATTTTTTAGGGAGTTATTGCTATTTTTGTGATTTTTCCTTAATTTATGATAACCAGTGTATTTTGAATCATCTACCATCGATTTTACAAGAAAATTCAACTATACAGTTTTTATTACTATAAAATAACAAATTCAGATCAATGACCTTACTTATATCTAATCACATTAAATGTTTTCCTGAAAATGCAGATAATGCACTGTATACTAATAAAATGAGAAACCTGAATTAAATTGGGAGGGGACAACCCCACTATTTAGATATTCATATACATATGGTATATATTCTTAGTCAAAGATATTTTTCTTTAAAAAATATAAATGCATCACACATTTATTAAATGAAATGAATCCTGTGTTTTATTTCAAAAATGCTATATATAAATTTTCCAATCATGTACAAATTACATGAAACTGATTATTTAATTTCTTTTTGTGCTGTCATCTTAAATACAAGCAACTGGATTAACCTGGATTGGAGTAGGAGAAAATCAGCTATTTTATTGGATATATGCATTAATTATATTTAAGAATGCTAAAAAAATATATTTTTGGCATACTTGATAATATATAATAGATACTACAGACACTACTAAAAATTTGAAATTTTCTCTTTCAAATGCAATATGTTTTTAAATTTACATTTGTACGTTACCAATATTGTACTGTTTTAGTTCTGAATTTGCAGGTATCATTTGATATAGTGAGTGAAAAAAATTTATATATATATGAATAGTTTTTCTTACTTCATATGATGTAATAGTATAAATACAAATAACATAAACCTACAAGTTAACATATATTTTTCAGAAGAATCAAGTTTAAGAAAATAAAACAAAGGCATTCATACTATTTTGCTGTTTACAATACTTTGTTACTTTACAGTAGATACTTAAAGACCATGTTTTGGTGACCCCCCCCCAAAAAAAGATGCCTCATAATCATTGTAATGATTACTCTGGGAAAAAAAGGTCCAATCCTCTAATTTGCTAAAATCCCCTTATTCCCTTTGTATAGCGATGGTAACGCATGTTACAATTCTAAATGAGGTCTGTTACGATGACCTTGAAATATCTATTTTAAAGCAACAGACAATAAAATCACCTTTTCGTATTTGCCTTTAAAATAATCATACTTTACTGAAATTTGAAACAAAAAGGACAGAAAAAATGTTCTACTTTGATATAAATGTTTATTATTGGTATTTTGATTATTAGTAAATATCCCTATGACGAAAATAGATGAACATTAATACTTTAAAATCTCAGTTTCATTTAGTATGTAGATATTGATAGTGTCACTGAACATGATCCTTCATTTTTCACATTTGCAAAATATGACAATTCTATGCTCAACA